GCCTCGACCGATTGCATCACTTGCATCTCATCTTTCTTTTTCCGATTTCATTCTAATTTAGTATTTCGATTTCGAACAGTAATTAATATTCTTTTGATTTCATGCTAAAGTTTGAATTAAAGAATGACACGCGTTCAGTATTGAAAAGTGATGAATCCATATTCATATTTTCATAGTCGGTAATTCACTAATTTGTCTTCTCAAATCAGATTTTGGTAGGTCGAATGATATTTCAATTTGATGCATATTAATAGCATGTTCTTGATGAATATAATATGTACATTATCGGCGTAATATCTCCTACAAGTCATGGCCTCTCGATTTAGTCTATTCTGATGTAAGGGGACATTCACTATATTTAAAAATACCATTTCAAAGTCAAACGTGTTCTCGATATTTAAAAATACAATTCTATGGTCGAAAAATATTTCAACACGTTATAGGTCACTCTTTATACCAACGGGAGCACGGAATATAAAGGCCTTAAAATCTTCATTGAGTCACCATGAATGCAACATCTTGTCTCTCCTCCTTGCACACTTGAACATGTAGGCACAGCTGAACGACATCATCCACATATTATCAAAACTAGCTTATCCCTCTTGTACAAAGCATCTTTACCTTTATCATATTGGTCTTATACCTTTCTTGCAGTCGTCTATCCAATTAACGGAATGCTCTTTCTCATATAACAAACCTCCTTCGAGACACTAATTTTCAAACCTCAAAACTATGATAAACCTACGAGCATTTAATTTTGTATTCTCCGTGGCTTCGACCCTACTCTACTCACCAGGGGCGGAGCCAGCCTGTCGTAGGGGAGTCCCAGAGTTGAAGGGTGCAGCCCCCGAAAATTTTGTTTTGAAACATTATCCGTTAAAATGAGGAAAGTTGGTACTTTGTGATGGAAAAAGGAAACAAATAAACATAAATTAGTGTACATTAGTTTAAGACTTAAAAGATGGTAATGCCTTCATGGAGATATCTCGGTGATCGACAATTATTTTCTAGACGCTTACAATTCTACTGCTTCAAGCTTCAAAATTAGAAGTTAAGACTTAGGCCTATATGCATAATGCATTTTAATTTTTATAGCTGAAGAATCCAAAATTGTAGCATTCTCATTCAGTCAATATCTGTAAGAGGGTTTAAAGTATTGCCTTCCCCTGCAATAAAAGGTCTCTTACACAGACACCCCAACACTTAGAGAACGTGAAATTTCAGTACTTAAGAAAAATACACATTATGAAATCTCATGAAAGGTGAGGACAAAATGGTAAATACTAAAAAAAATTTTAAAAAATTTTGTCAAAAAAAATTGGGTGGGGTCCGGGTCCCCCAGGACCCCCCCCCCCTCCGCCCCTGCTACTCACAAACTTGATCTACGATCCAAGCAGTGTATTTTTATTGGATATTCTAACACTCGCAATGCATATAAACGTCTTGATTATACTACTAAACGGTTCTATATTTCCTATTATGTTCAATAAATTGAAAATCGATTTCCCTTATCATCTACCTTCAAATCATATAATCTCAACACTACCATTCCCATAAGAACACCAGCCCTTGCTTCCACTCAACCTTTACATTTCATTCTTCCCTCATCGTCCTCGAATTCTCCAGCTTCCTCTTGTAAATGTGACTTCACTCCCAAATATAATTCTCCATATCTTTTCTCCTTTATCCTCTTTACAAGTTGCCTCGCCATCTCCCAAATTTGATGCATAAAAAACTTAAATTTACTTGGATATTTACTATTTAAAATATTAATTTAATTAAATAAAGTTTAAAGTACTTTAAGTAATATATATTTTTTTTAAAACATTGTTATAATTAATGTTCTATCGATAAATTTTGAACTTAAATCTGAAAACCTGTGCAAATGGCAACTTTATAATTTCAAAATCCTATCTAATAAAACTATTTAAATCTATATAAATCAAAGTGCATCCACCATCGTAATCCTCTTTGTTATATTCAATTCACCTTCTTAATTATTCTCTATCGCTTAGTTTAATTTTAAAATGATTTGATTTTTGAAAATTAGAAACCAATTAGGACCAGTACCAAATTTTTCCAAATATGGTTCAAGATCCGTAATGTAATGTTTGAAATTCTCTTAAAAAACACACAAAAACGAAAAAAAGAAAATTGCTTTTCCGAACCGCATTTAGGGTTTTGGGTCTTCTTCGTGCTCGAGTTCAACAATTTTATAAAGATATAGTTCAAGTATTAGAACAATGCTATATAGCATCGGATGAACTCTTGTAGATAAGATGCAAATTTCTCAATTTTAGACTTGGACTTCCATCTTAATTGATAATATTTGGTAATGAGACTGATTCAACGTAAATGATGTTTTGTGGAGTCTATTACATTGAAAAGGCTCTTAATATCTGGTTCAAAAACAAAATTAATATCGTAGTCTAGCACCAATCTATTATCGTAAGAATATGGTTCTCAATAATCAATTGTAATTTTTTTTACCAAATTATAAAGCATAGAACCCAATGTTACATAGACGGGTACTAATGCTAAACAACATTATTCTTAATATACAAGTTAGCTGTAAAAAGTTCAACATTTGGATAAAAATTCCAATGGTACCAACAAACATTGATGTTACAATTTATTTAGGCTATGACCTCGTCCATCATACACTCTCTAAATTTGACCTTCGCCTTCGTCCCATCTACACGAACAATGTCACAACATTCACATCTATCCGTCTGAGAGAGAAACACAAAGAGTAAGTATTAGACATTATACTTTCATTTGATCAAATTAATTCTGTTTTGAAATCAATTGGGATTTGCAGCTGGTGTTAGATTTAATTCAAGTTCACTCATTAGTAACAAAAATATGATTCCAATAGATTCTATTAAGTACGTTTCTGGAGCATAAAACATAATTTAACCATGTAATGAAAAAGATTTAAATTCGACATTACCTCTAGGCGTTTTGTTGCAGGAGAAATGACTTCAATTTTGGAAATAAAATCTGCAGTATGGTTTCCACTTGATGAACAAGCTGGAATCCCGCGGGGCAATGCACGAGAGTAGCTGGTAAAGATCTCATTTCTCGGTGTTTTTTCTATAGATTCACGGAAGAAAACGTGAGGGGCTTCACATGGATCATTGGAGGGCATCCTAGTATTGAACATAAAATTTGGAGGGTGTGGACTCCTTGTCCATAAACCAAACGTTTCGATGGGATTTTGTAAGTAACTCCGAGGCATAACTCTCTCGTATATATGTGCAGAATAGCCCCAAGAAACTGAAAAAGTCCAGTTTCTTTCCCTGTGATGGCATATGGTTTGCTGCACCAATCGAGACTGGTCGACGTTTGCTGCCTTCATGAGGTGGCGGGCCGATTCATAACGATCCATGGAGGGAAATAATGGGTCTAACACGTCATAATGGTGAAATGACAGTATAGGAAATTTTGGATGAGACGACAAAAAACCAGATATATCGCCACGTAAATCAACCTGAAATATATGTTAAGGATAAAATTCATGTTGTTTGAATATAAAAAAAAAATAATAATAATAATAATTAATAAAAGTTTTTAAGATTAATTACTCTAAGTCACTTTTTCCTTTTTTTTTTTCATTTGACTTGAAAGTTGAAACTATAAATATATTAAAAATTTCGCCACTCGCTATTCTCAAGAGTAGCCTGATTATCTCGATCCGAAAATCACTGTAAATAATTCTATATATTACTAAGCATATCGTGCGCTAGAAGATTGTTGACTTAAATTTAATCAGTTGACTCTAATTAATTATGTCTTGAAAAAGAGCGTCTGCAGCTCCCTATTTTGATTTAATGAATATAATTAAGCCAGGATTAGCACAATTAACAAAGCTGTCAAGATTCATATTCATTCTTCTCCATGAATTAATTGCACTAATTATAGCAGTAGGCTTATTAAGAGCAAATGTTGAACCATAACGTTCGAAACATTAATTAACCTGTCTATCAGGTAACATATTCATATAATTTAATGTAGAATATATGTTCCATATTCTTCTCTTCATCGAACATCTGATAAGTGTATATGACTAGTAGGTCGTGTTTGATTTTATCTCACAACTGCGTTTTGATATTATTATATCTTGAACTAACTCGAGTAAAAGTTTAAATCACAAGAAGGGACATATGTTTATCTATTTACATTTCGTCAATGCAAAAACCCAAAAGCATCATAATTAAAAAGCTTGTATGAGGCAGTACCTGGTGTATTCCTAGATGGGGAGTCAAGTCGACTCCAAGATCAGCGATGCAGGCCATCGTTGTCATATCAGCAGAGTTCCTCCGTCCATTCAAATGTGCATGTCTTCTCAGACAATTTTCCATGCCATTTGACAGGGCTTTTGCCAAAGGGTAACTCAAAATGAATCCACCTCCACCAAAAGCTTGGTTGAATGAGTACCAAACATTGGACCAAATAAACTCAGACTGGTGACCAAGGTAGTAGTACTTTTTATGATCTAACTTCGAAAGAACATCAACTAGGTTATCCACGAAAAATATTGTATCGTCGTCTCCCATTATTAACCATCTGAGATCTCCATGCTCCTCTCTGAAAACCTCCTTTATTCCATTTACCATTTTATTCATGAGGTAAATACCCCTAATTTCTTGAACGAATACTGTAAGGTCCTCAGATATCTTATATGGTGGAGAATCCTTTGACCAAGGGAGGAGATCTTCCGTTGGTTCTCTATCTAAATATACGTATCCCCTTGTAACGTTTGGTCGCCACCATGATTCGATGTACGGCTTTCTGCGAGGCCATGATGGAACTGAACCAAGAAGTCCAAAAACAAGATGGCTAACATTAGTTGGAGAATCAATAGAATTTTCTACTGAAGATTTATTTGTGGGATGTGCCCTTTTCTGGATAGGTGTAAAGAAATCAGAAGTTGAACAATTGGGATATTGAGTCGAAAGCGAAACGTAGATCAAATAAAGAAGCAGACCTAAAATCATAAGGGTTTTGCATAGGCTGCTAACAGAAAAATTATCAGAAGAAAACGAAGAGATCATTTCAAAGTTATGGAGACAGTATGGAATAGTGCAGGGTATAAGAATGAATAGGATGAAACCAAAAATCTCAAAGTCATAACAGATATATCATTTATCACAGTAATTTATATATATATAAATAAATCGATACAAGAATATAATATTCATAATGTTTTCTGATTCATGTGATACTTCTTCATAAAATGTCATATAAATACCACCTACCACAACATTCATGCGTAGATACCTGAAAAATAGTCAAGATTTCACTTCTACTCCTACACAAGATTTGACAGTTCATACTTTGAATTTTGGAGAAAGAGAGAGACTAATGGCCGTCAATATTTTATCATCTGCGTGATGGTTTAGTAAAAAAAACTATAAAGCAGACTTTATCACATAATTTCTGGATCCTTTAAATAGTTTTTCCTTGTAAAAAAAAAGAGGTAATTAGTGCTAAATACAACCAACTGCAATACAGATAACATAAGAAAGTTACAAGAAATTGCTTGAATAGATGAGGACGTTATCATGTTATCTCTATCAGATATAATTTTATTATTTTAAGTATCTATACATTTTTAAGTAGAAAAGCAACAAGGCAGACTCTATTGTATATAATAATTTGATTTATGGATTCATTATAGTTTCTTCTTTAGAGGAAAAAATATAATAGGTACTGCTAGTTATAAAATGTGTGTTTATGCGTGGGTGGTAGTTTCCAATATATTTAATTTTTACCATATAATCTAGGAAGATTAAAGTAATGTAATTGATGTTACACCACAACTACAATTAATAGTTTCACTTTATCTAGCAGTTTGTCTTTTTTAATTTCCTTTTCCTAGTTGTACGAGTTTGTTTGGGAGAGATTTTTGGGGGAAGAATTGATTTTGAATAGTGATATGATGGGAAATGTGTGGTTGGAAAAGGAGAAAAAATTATTGATGTGATGGAAAATATTATTTTATTGAAGAATGTGTGGTTGAAAATGAGAATTGATTTACTGTAGAAAAATTTAATTCCTCTCAAACAAGACCTAGGATTCTACTGGCAGTTTGTCAAGGAATGATTTTGAATAGTGATATGATGGGAAATGTGTGGTTGAAAAAGAAGAAAAAATTATTGATGTGATGGAAAATATTATTTTATTGAAAAATGTGTGGTTGAAAATGAGAATTGATTTACTGTAGAAAAATTTAATCACTCCCAAACAGGGCCGTAATAAGTTTTATTCGTAAATCTTATTTAAATTAGGATTAGTTTATTTCATTTTGGAATTTAGTTTCCTTTTATTTATAGGATTAAAGAATAATTTTGGCTATAAATATAGGAGTATTGTACACTTTTTGAATAATCAATTATATATCAATACAAAACTAGATTATTCCAATATAATTCTGATTTTCAATTTTTATTACAAGAATTTTCAAAAACGCTTCTAGTATATATTGAATAATAATTCTTATTAATCCTCCCCCGACCCCACGATGCACAGACACGCATACATACACACATTAAAAGCTAATATGAAATTAATTCTTCATTTATGGGTAATGAACGTAGAGTAAAAGCTAATATGAAATTAATTTTTCATTTGTGTAATGAACTGTGTTTCAGGGTTTATATTTATAGTTTTTTTTATAATACAGATAGTGAGAGGATAACCGTACAAAGGGATAATGACTATAGTTTAAACATTATAATTTGAATTACAAGTTCACAACAAATGAGTAAACTTATTCAACAAATCTAATTTAATTTCTCTTTGTAGGTTAATAAGTTATGGATCCTACAAATTTTGACTTTATGAAAAGTGTGAATAAAAAGTAGGCAAAAGTTATGAATATTATGAAATGAATAGATAAAAAATGATGTTTGGGGGTGGAGGATTACTTGAATCTTTTCACATATTTTTATCAACACATAATTATCTATAATATATTAAGAATCGTATCAAGTGAGAATCATTTTTCTACAATTATAACCCTGCTACAATTCAATTATTTCAATAAACATTACTTTTCATTTTTCAACGTATTTAATTTACTAACGGTAATAAATACTATAATTAATTCACATTCATTTAATTAATATTAATTAGAGTTTCAGATTCACATTCACGTCCATGTTATTAATTCCAATATTTTAAAAGTCGATCAGAAAAAGAGAAAGAGTTAAGGTTCAAAAGGTTGAATCGGGATCGAATTGGGATCAAACCGTAGTTTTTAAAAAATTTAAAAATATACATTTACAAAAAATTTAAAAATATATACATTTAAAATTTTTTAAAAATATACATTTACATAGGTTGAACCAGTTAAATAAATATAGGTCACGAGTTTTCCGAAAATTCATCGATTTATTTTTTAATTATAGGTTTTATAAGCCTAACTAGACCGATTTTGGTTCCGATTTCCAATTTTTCCGGTTGAATTGACCCGACTAATTCGATTTTTAAAACACGGATTAATTCTTAATTAATATTAATTAAAATTTTACATTCAACAATGCAGTTCATTATTCACGTCCATGTATGCTAATTTATCATCAAATTTCATTTAATTGAAAATTATATTATATTTATTTAATATAAATTATTTAACATTTATTGTCACGTATACATTCCTTGGTGTTAATTCTAAATTAATTAACATTCACATTAATTCACGTGTTGTATTTGTAATTCATTTTTATTTATGCATTTAGTTGTAATTCAAATACTTACATTTAAGTATGTATTTTACTATTTACATATATATATATAATAATAATTAACATTTATTTTCGGAAGCTTGCATTTCTCTTATATTTAAATCAAAAGGGTAAATGAAGGGGGTGGGGGATCGTCAAATATTACTTTCCCAATACTTAAAAAATATTTTAGAATAACGTGCAATGCACGTTCAACTCTGACTAGTATATATAAAGGGGCAAAGTTTAAACGCAACTTTCTTTCCAAATACGATATAGTCTATATGAACTAATTATATTGGAAATGTTTCTAGTATTTCTGTTTTTTGTTCTTAGCAAGTCGTATATGTATTTTTCTTTCTAGACGTTGGAGTACACACACACACACACACACACACACACACACATATATATATACAGAAATGATCTACTGAGGATAAGATGAGCACCGGTGCTCATTAGATCATTTCTGTATATATAGTTGTAATTTGGAGGTAAGATTTAAGTCATTCCCTTGCTTATAATTTTTTTCTCATAAATATAACTGGTTGAGGAATTCAAATATTCCACTAAATTTAGGTGTAGATCAAAGAATCCCGTCTTGACTTGACTTGTGTTCTCCTTACTGGAGCTTAATTTAATTGGATCAGATTAGGTTCCTTCAATGGTTTCCATCTCCAAGTCATTAACTAAAAGGAAGAGTCCTTTTAGGATATGGATGTTTTCATATCCAAGTTATGTGCATATTATAAATAGGCACTCGTATTGAGGTTCAACTAAGGTAATTTTTTTGTGCGCACACGTAAAATTTATACAATTTATTGGTTCTCGAAGAACATGTGTTGGAAAAAATCAAAGGGTTTGAAGGTGAAATCAAGAAAATCAACATGGAAGGAAATTTTTTTCTTAGAAATCACGCTATAAGGGTAATTTCTAAAGCCGAATGTTCCAACACCGAAAAATAATTAGTACTATAGAAACTCTTTGATTTGATCTACAATAGAATTTGAACATTACATATTCATTAATTCATGAAAAATACCAATTAATTGAATGGAACGAGAACATCTCAAAATTATTCTTAAAATCAACCAAGAAACGATGAAGCCTAGTATTGTTTTTAAAGAAAACAAGAAAATCTCACAACAATTTAATAAAATTGTAAAACAAGCCCCTAATCCTAATAATATAAATAATCAACTTCAAAAAATAGAAGGGACAATCCGCCTCTTGGTGCCAGCGTTGGGTTTGTTGATTGAAGAATACACAATATATCCATGTGTACAGCAAATCATTTGTATAGAAAAATCCGCTTTAAACTTGTGCTATTGACCCTCAATTCAAGAATTAGGGTAAACTCATCCTTGTTAGGCACAATTTTAAGCGATGATCTCGTTCGTCATACACTCCCTAATTTTAACATCTGCCTTCCTTCCATGTACACGAATAACGTCACAGCATTCACATCTATCAATCTGAGGAAGAAAAAAATAAATAAATTATGAAACGAGATATGTGATGCTATGTGTATCGAAAGTTAGACTAGAGTACTAGATTAGCACGACCCTCCTAATAATATCCTTCAACGATTTGTTTATGGGACAAACCGAGCAGGAAAACTTGTACAGCCCACGATAATTTATCAAACATAGGACTTAGCTCCTTTTTTTCTATTTGCCTTTGAACAATTCTGCTTTTAAGTACTGTAGAAAATCTTGGAGGAAATGAAAGGTGTATTATATCTACTTGAAAACATATATATATATATACCTCAGTGCGCTTTGTTTCTGGTGAGATGACATTGATTTTGGTAATAATCTCTGCAGAATTTGATGAACAAGGAAGAAGCCCCCGGGTCCATGCTCTCGAAAAACTTGTAAAAACATAATTTTTTGGTGATTCTTTAATGGATTTAAAGAAGAAAAGATGGGGTGCTTCGCAAGAATCGTTAGAGGGCAATCTTGTGTTGAACATATAATGTGGAGGCGTTGGGTTCGGTAACCATGTTTCAAAGGTTTCAATGGGGAATTGTAAATAGCTTCGAGGCATGATTCTCTCGTATAAATGTACAGAATAGCCCCATGAAATGGAAAAAGTCCAGTTGCTTTGCCTGTGATGGCAGACTGTTTGTTGCAACATCCGAGACTGGTCGGCCTTAGCCGCCTTCATGAGGTGGCGCGTGGACTCAGCACGATCCATGGAGGGAAATATTGGTTCCACCATGTCGAAATGGTGAAGGGACATGAGTGGAAATTGTGGATGTGATGATAAGAAACCGGATGCATCACCACGCATATCCATCTGTAATACCACATGCAAACATCAATTAATTCTTGGTAGCAAATATAAACTAAAGGTTCCCTGATGTGAACCTCAGTATTAATGTATTATCAACCTTAAGTCTTAGTGGTAATTTAATAGCATTTTGTTGGACATTGCATATTTTTCACATCCCAAAATCCAATGTTTCATGTAGAAAACATCTAGCAGTTAAATTTTCAATATTGGAGAGAATTAGACAATTTATTTTATATAAATTCATAGCTTTAATATGTAGCTTCACGTGAACCATATTCAATTCGTTTTCCACCAAAGTATTGACTACCTTGACACGTAGAATTTTCAAATCTAGAAGTTAAATCCAAAAGTTTTTTAGCACGTTTGGGAAGTGTTTATAAGCAGATTATATTATAAATAAAAATGAGTAGTGGATAACTAGGTAATACTTATAAACTTTTTAAAATATATGTATAAAAAATGGCATTATTGTTTACAAACACAAGCTAAGCATAGGCTGGTATAAAAGATTAAGTTGTTAAAAAATGAGTAAAAAAATTTATTTAAGCTTATATCTTTTGACAGTATTCAATGAAGTATGCAATATATTCTTAGACATAATGCATTAATTAATTAAAAAGGGGTGATACATGTTATAAGTTACCTGGTGAATTCCTTGTAGGGGAGTGAGGCTGACTCCAAGATCAGCTATACATGACATTGTGGTTTGGTCAGCAGCCTCAAGATGTGCATATCTCCTTAAACAATTTTCCAAGTCTTTAGCCAGTGCTTTTGCCAAAGGGGCACTCAACATAAATCCAGCCCCACCAAATCCTTGGCTAAATGAGAACCAATAATTTGAAAAAATAAATTCCGATCGTCCACCAAGGTAATAATACTTTGTATGATCAAACTTTGCGAGAATTTCAACAATATTATCAAGAAAAAATATGGAATCATCATCTCCCATTACTAGCCATCTGAGATTTTCATGATCCTCTTTGAAAACCTCCATGATTCCATGAACAATACGTTGGGCCGTAAGGTCAGGTTTCTTGAGAAATGTGGTAAGATCATCGGATATTCTGTAAGGAGGAGAAGATCCAGACCAAGGGAGGAGTTCTGCCGTTGGCTCTTTATCAAGAAACAGAAATCCCCTCGTAATGTTAGGTCTCCACCACGATTCAATGTATGCTTTCCTTTGATGCCATGCTAACTCAGATCCTACGAGGCCGAAAACTAGGTGACTAAGATTTGTAGGAGAATCATTAGAAATTGTAGAAATGGTAGAAGAATTTTTTGAAATTGTAGCAGAATCGTTAGAAATTGCAGAAGTTGTAGGTGAATCGTTTGAAATAGTTGGAGAATCATTTGAATTCGTAGGAGAAACTACAGTACTGGAAGAGATTGAAATATCAGGTGCTGTTTTCCATAAAGAAGAAAAAAAATCTGAAGATGGACAATTGTGATACTGATTAGAAAGAGCAATGAATACAAAATAAAGAACCATACAGAAAATTAGTTGGGTTTTGCATAGGCCACCCAAATCTATATTATAATTAAATGATGCCATTTTCATGTGTGTATCAGATTATAAGGACTAAATATAAATCAGAAGATGATCACTTTTTCTTCATAGGGTTTGCTAATTCATTTGATCATGTATCTTAGAGCACAGAAAATTACATGCACACACAAGGAAAAACTACACACGCACACCTAGGTTACCGGAAGCTTTCTTGAATTGCCTCGTCTCCAATCTGAAAATGTTAAAAAGGAGAAAAACATTAAGTTCTTTAACTTGTGGGCATCCATTCGTTTTTCTTTAAACGTCGTACGCATATTTTTATATATGTAATTAAAGACAATGAGATTTGAACTCAAGATACTTTTATGTTCTAATGCCTTGTAAAGCCATGTATTAATGTTTAATTATTTCATGTGGAAAATAGTTTGTGATCGTAAATAATTTTATTTGTGATGGAGATTATTTTGTGGTGAATTATTATTTTTTTTTATAAATTTTCCGCACTGAATCGAAGTGAACAATATTATTGAAACCCATAATTTATCTTGACTTGGACAAAAATAGAAGATGAAATTGTTAACTAAAGCTACAAATTTAAAACTCAGAATATTATGGGAACTGATCTTTCAGCATTTCTCGATCTATCGCCCATTACTTTTCGAAGGGATTGGCTATTGGAATTGAACAAAGTACTTTATCGTTTACAAGAGGAATTCTTAATCCCCTGAAATCAGGAAGACTCATTCTAATACGGGGAGTTCATGCTCCTATTTTGAAGTAAATCTATTCGAAGTGATCCTATTTTCTCCTGCAATATTATTTTATATTCAATCACTATATTTCTACTAATTAAGGAGTGTGAGGAGGATCCATCTGCATTAGTTAATTCGAACATATATTAATAAATGATCTATTTAAAAAATATATCCATCTCCCTCGATCGGTATATTGAAGCCCTAATAATGGTATAGTTTGGTGCTATTGGATATATTCAGCATGAGGCAACTACAGGGATCGGCATGTAAGAATTGTGGGCATAGGTGGAGCGGCAATCAATGCGAATATTTTAGTCGTGGAGGACTCCGACGGCAATGATTGTCCTTTTATCCTTTCAATCATGAGCAACAAATGATGTTAATTTAGGTGACGATTCAATGGTCCACCAATTCTTATGGGTAATTCGAAACCAAAATTCCTAAGGTGTTGTTGGAGGGATTCGAGTTAATAGGGGAAATGTCAAAGGGTCTCCATGACTTGAAAATATTAAGTTAAACTATATCATCCGAAAACTTCGAAAAAAAAATTATTAAAATTTTTGACTTCAAGAATGTAGGGTCCGAGGAACTCATTGTATTTAACGTACAAAACAAGTTTAGATACATCAGTAGTGGTGTGATGTATATCTTCTATATATTAAAAGTGGCTATGTAACGGAATTTCTTGTTTTTAACGGAAAAACTAACGGAATTTGTTGTTTTAACGGACTATGTAACGGAATTTTTTATTTTAAACAGGCAGCTGCACCTTCTTTCAGTGTTTTTATCATAACTTTGTATTTCGATATCCGATGAGACGATTCAAAATGCGTTGGAAAACTAACTCATCTGGCTACAACTTTGATTCAGACATCATTCTCCAATTCGGTCACTTTCTATGCCAAAAATAGGTCTCAATATGAG